GAATTCATGCCCTGTTTAAAGAGAGTAGGTACTACTCAGCTCTAGCTAATTTTTGCCATGAAGAAATGCAGATTGTTTGAGTTTTCAAGAGAAGCCAGAAATCTGGATTTTTATTTGGTAACATTCAAATTGTTAAAAATTAGTAACAAATAGTAAGGATCAGAGCAGAAATAAGCGACATAGAGACCAAAAAAACAATTCAGAGGATCAATAAAACAAAGAGCTGGTTTTTCGAAAAGATAAACAAGATTGATGGACCCTTAGCTAGACTCACCAAGAAACAAAGAGAGAGAACCCAAATACATAAAATCAGAAATGAAAGAGGAGAGATAACAACTGACACCACAGAAATACAAAAGATCCTTAACAACTATTACGAACAATTATACGGCAACAAATTCGAAAATCTAAGCGAAATGGACAAATTTCTAGAAACACATAGTCTCCCAAAACTGGATCAGGAAGAGATAGAAAACTTGAACAGAACAATAACAACAGAAGAAATTGAAGATGTAATCAAGACTCTTCCAGCAAACAAAAGCCCAGGCCCGGATGGCTTCACGGGGGAGTTTTACCGAACATTCAAAGAAGAACTAATACCCATTCTCCTCAAACTATTTCAAAAAATTCAAGAAGAAGGAAGACTTCCAAACTCGTTTTATGAAGCCAGCATAATTCTAATTCCAAAACCAGAAAAAGACACAACAAAGAAAGAAAACTACAGGCCAATATCCCTGATGAACATAGATGCCAAAATCCTGAACAAAATACTAGCAAATCGAATCCAGCAATACACCAGAAAAATTATCCACCATGATCAAGTGGGATTCATCCCAGGGATGCAAGGCTGGTACAATATTCTCAAATCCATAAATGTGATACACCACATAAATAAACTGAAGAATAAAAACCACATGATAATATCAATAGATGCTGAAAAAGCCTTCGACAAAATCCAGCATCCATTTCTGATAAAAACGCTCAGCAGTGTGGGAATAGAGGGATCATATCTAGACATAATAAAAGCCATATATGAAAGACCTACAGCCAACATCATACTCAACGGGCAAAAACTAAAAGCATTTCCCTTAAGAACAGGAACAAGTCAAGGATGCCCACTTTCGCCACTCCTATTTAACATAGTACTGGAAGTCTTAGCCACAGCAATCAGACAGGAAGAAAAAATAAAAGGGATCCAAATTGGAAAGGAGGAAGTGAAATTGTCATTATTTGCAGATGACATGATACTGTACATAGAAAACCCCAAAGACTCCACCAAAAGCTTACTAGACTTAATAAATGAATTTGGCAAAGTAGCAGGATACAAAATTAACGTCAAGAAATTGATGGCATTCTTATACACCAATGATGAACTCACAGAAAGAGAAACTAAGCAAACAATCCCATTTACCATTGCGGCAAAAATATTAAGATACCTAGGAATAAACTTAACCAAAGAAATAAAGGACCTATTCGCAGAAAACTACAGGTCTTTGAAAAAAGAAATAGAGCAAGATATAAAAAAGTGGAAGCACATACCCTGTTCATGGATTGGGAGAATTAACATCATTAAAATGTCCATATTACCCAAAGCAATATATAGATTCAACGCAATCCCCATCAAAATACCAATGGCATACTTCACAGAATTAGAACAATTACTTCAAAAGTTCATATGGAACCAAAAAAGGCCTCGAATAGCCACAGCAATCTTGAAAAGAAAGAACAAAGTTGGAGGGATCACAATACCAGATTTCAGGTTATACTACAAAGCCACCATAATCAAAACAGCCTGGTACTGGCACAAGAACAGGTATATAGACCAGTGGAACAGAATAGAGAACCCTGAAATGGACCCAAGGCAATTTGCTCAATTAATATTTGACAAAGGTGGCAAGAGCATACAGTGGAGTAAGGACAGCCTCTTTAATAAATGGTGCTGGGAAAATTGGACAGCTACTTGCCGAAAAATGAAACTAGACCATCAACTTACACCCTACACCAAAATAAACTGAAAATGGATAAAAGACTTAAATGTAACTCATGAATCCATAAAAATCCTAGAGGAGACTGTGGGCAACAAAATCTCAGACATCATACGCTGTAGAATTTTTACTGACACATCACCTAAGGCAATAGAAACAAAGGAGAAAATGAACACATGGGACTACATCAAACTCAAAAGCTTCTGCACCGCAAAAGATACAATCATCAAAACGGAAAGGCTACCCACTGTATGGGAGAGCATAATTGCCAATGATATATCAGATAAGGGGTTAATTTCCAATACATATAGAGTGCTCATACAACTCCACAAAAGGAAGAGAAAGAATCCAATTAAAAAATGGGCAGAGGAACTAAATAGACACCTCTCCAAACAGGACATACAAATGGCTAAGAGACATATGAAGAAATGCTCATCATCACTAATCATCAGAGAGATGCAAATCAAAACAACCTTGAGGTATCACCTCACACCTGTCAGAATGGCCGCCATCAACAAATCATGAAACAACAAGTGTTGGCGACGGTGTGGAGAAAAGGGGACTCTAGTACGCTGCTGGTGGGAATGCAGACTGGTGCAGCCACTATGGAAAACAATATGGTGTCACCTCAAAAAATTAAAAATTGATCTTCCATTTGACCCAGTGATCCCACTTCTAGGAATATACCCTAAGAAGCATAAAACACCAATAAGAAAGAATATATGTACCCCCATCTTTGTAGCAGCACTATTTACAATCGCTAAGATCTGGAAACAGCCCAAGTGCCCATCAGTAGACGAATGGATCAAAAAGCTGTGGTACATATACACAATGGAGTACTACGCAGCGGTAAGAAAGAAAGATCTCTTATCCTTTGAGATTACATGGAGGGACCTGGAAAGTATCATCCTAAGTGAAACAAGCCAAACAGAGAAAGACAAATTTCATATGATCTCACTGATTTGTGGAATATAATGAACATAACAATTTGAGGAATGGGGTAGTCCCAGAGACGCGGAAGCGGGGTACAGACTGACAATCCCCTAAGGAGTGGGAAGGTGGGGGAGGGATGAACCACAGAACTTATACGCATGTATGCATGAACAGTGGACATGGACAACAATCTGGGGAAGGGGCAGGGAGGGGAGAGGGAGGGGGGAATCAGTGGGGGAAAAAAGGAGAATCATCTGTAACAAAAATTAATCAATAAAAAAAAATTAGTAACAAATGCAATGTTTTAAAATGTACAGAGATGAGACAAATGTAACTCTGAATGCAGTATATCCAATATGTCTCTACTTTGTAAACAATGCTTTATCACATCATTCTGATTTCTACTGTCAGAAATTATATAATTTCATGTCTGTCTCCTTTTCACCATATATCGTATGACTGAAGATGTTTTTAAAAATCATAATCACCATATGACATCAATGCTCTAACAAAATTAACAAATCCTTAATATCAACTATTACCCAGACCATGTTAAAATTTCCCCCATTGTCATATGGGATCTTAATTAATATTTATTGAATAAGTGATAAATGAACATAAATAACTGTATGCATACTTCCTAAAGTTCTGAAACACAATTTTTTACAGAAACATTAGGGTGATTTGTCAAAAGAGCCTTAGTTTTCAAATTTTAAGAAGCAAATAATTAGTTCAGCTAGTATTGTTCTGGTAATGCAGATAAAAACTAACAGTGAAATTCCACAGAGGGTATTTACCCAAGAAAAATTAAGGCATATCTCTCTACAAATACTTGTATAAGAATGTTCTTAACTCCTGGCCTGTGTGGCTCAGTGGGTTGAGCACTGTCCCATGGACTGAGAGGACCCAGTTCGATTCCTGGTCAGCGCACATGCCTGGTTTACCAGCTCAATCCCCAGAGGGGGTGTGCAGGAGGCAGCCGATCGATATTTCTTTCTCACATTGATGTTTCTATCTCTCTCTTCCTTCCTCTCTCTCTGAAAGATCAATAAAAGCATATTTTTTTGATAAAAAAAAAGAATGTTCTTAACAGATTAACTCATAATATCTAAGTATAAGAAATAACTTAAATGTGTACCAGTGAGTGAATGGATAAAAAAACTGCAATATATTCATACAATGAAATACTACTCATCAGTAAAGGGAACAAAACACACAACAATGTGAATAAGTCTCAAAAGCATTATGCTGAATACAATAAGGCAGACAAAAGAGTAAATTCTGTATAAATTTATTTATATAAAATTAGCCCAGCCGGTGTGGCTCAGTGGATTGAGCGTCGTCTCATGGACTGAGGGGTCCTGGTTCGATTCCCAGTCAGGGCACATGCCTGGGTTGCAGTTCGACCCCCAGTAGGAGGCATGCAGGAGGCAGCCAATCAATGTTTCTCTCTCATCGATGTTTGTATCTCTCTCTCCCTTCCTCTCTCTCTAAAAAAATCAATAAAAAAAACATATTTAAAAAAATTATAGAGCAGGTAAAACTAATATATGGTGGAAAAATATCAGAATACTGTTTGTGTTTAATAGTATTTACTGGGAAGGAGCATGAGAGAACATTCTGGGGTGTGGTAATGTTTATAGAGGTTTTGGTTACACAGTGTGTATATTTGTGAAAACACTGAATGGTACACTTATGATTTGTGCATATATATATATGTATATATATATATATTTCAGCCTCAAAAGAATGAGAAAATATTTAGGTAGATATGTAGTGATATCTGCTACTTACATTAAAATGCACCAAAAATAAGTTGGCTTTATGAATGATGGACAGAGGAATGAGTTTGTGAACAGATGTGTGATAAAGAAATATAGTTAAACGTTTTTTATAAAAAATTTTAAACATCCATCCAAGATGGAAGAATTATACAGTAAGTATTTATAAAAATATTGTGAAAGACTGCATAGTGTTTTTCAGAAGAGAGGAGAAAAGGGGGCTATTCTGAGGATATACATGAGTTAGAGTTTCTAAGATACTTGCTGATCTTCCTCTCTAGCTGACTTTGGATGAACTGACCTCCACTCCCGGTTCTTGTGTAAACAGGTAGCTTCTTGGCAATATCAACGAGCATCTGCTTTTGGACCTCAGGTCTCTCTTCATTTTCATAACGCTCCTTGTCTGTATAGGATAAGTGAAACTGAAAGCAGAAGTGAGAAGCAAGAATTTATTTCCAAGGTTCACACAAACAATTACAAATACAACGATAATTATTTAGAAGGAAATATTTGTTACCTACCCTGAAGCTCAGGTACCTATTTGCCATATAACTTTCTCTAGATAATTATCTCAATGATCTTATCTGGCTTTTATGTCAATCTTCATAGCTCTGTGTGATAGGTGGTATTGTTTTATAAATAAAATACAACTTGGATTAAGTAACTTGAGCATTGTTACACTCACTCAACCAGTAAATAGCAAAACTAAGCCACAAACCTGGTTCACCTTACTCCAAGACTTGTGCCCTTTACACTCCATTATATTACCATATGATGTTGCATTCAGATGTGTGACATCTTGCTGACAGGACCCTACTAATGATCAACTATGTTTATTATTAAGTTGTGAGTATTTTTCATAAGTGACACTTTTGTTGAATCAGGATGAGACTGCTTGTGATATTATCTGAATATTCTAATTTTGAAAATGATTAGAGCCCTGGCCAGTTTGGCTCAGCGGTAAGAGTGTCGGCCTGTAGTCCAGAGAGACCCGGGTTCGGTTCCCACTAGGGGCATGTACCTTGGTTGCAGTTTGTCCCCGGCCCAGGTTGGGTCTTGTGGGTGGCAGCCACTCAATGTGTCCCTTGCACGTCGATGTTTCTGTCTCTCTCTCTCCCCCTTCCATTCTATCTGAACAAAAAAAATGGAACAATGTCCTCAGGTGAGGGGAAAAAAAAGAAAGAAAATGAGTAGAAATTTGGGTATTCTTACTATTTCACAAATTTGTACTTTGGTATGACGCTTTTTGCCATGTTTGTGACATACCTTGCTGATCTTACAAAAGATATGATAACAATTTTCCAAACGGACCTTAAAGCTTTCTTTTGTCTGGGCCAAAGTCTAGGCAAAAGTGAAAAAAGAATAATCTGTGTTTAGATTTTCTAGGTTTAAACCTCATCTCTGTGACTTAATAGCTTTTAAAAATTACTTTGAAAATCATAAACTGCTGATCTAAGTGTTTTCATCTGTAAAATAGTCAATAATACTTATTTGACAAGGTGTAAAAGTGCTAGATCATAATACGTTATTAAAAGTCTGTTTCATGATATTTAAAATCACTTCCTTCCAGACCAAACTGGAATTACAACTGAAATATACAACAATCAACCTGAATAACTAACCAAAGACTAGGTAAACAGACATTGTATAACCATGGATTTACCGAAGAATCCACATCAAGACTGTTCCAAAGAGGACACGCAAGGTCAGTCACAGGCAGCATTTGATATTGACCTGCATAATAGTTCCTCCCAGGAGGCCCCGAAACCAACACACCAAGTAGACACCTTCACACAACATCAGAGCAGTACTGAATAAACTTCATAAACAGCACATCCAAAGGGAGATATCAGCAGACACCAGACCCTGCTGAGGAGAATTCTTCTTCATGTGTGCAGCACCTGCATAGCAGTTGGTACACAGTGTTCAGGGTTGCTCCTCACAGTCAGCCAGCCCACACATGAACAGACCAATAGCAATCAAGACTCAACTACAGCAGGGAGGGTTTACATAAACCACACAAGAGATATTACTGCAGCACTCAGCTCAGGTGATCAAGGAGACTGGATCCGTCAAGATACATACAACATAAGCCAACCAACCAAAACTAGGAGACAGAGAAGATCTACCTAATACATAGAAACAAACAAAAACCAGCAGCCAAAATGGGGAGACAAAGAAACATGCTCCAAATGAAAGAACAGGAGAAATCTCCAGAAAAAAAGAGCTAAATAAAATTCAGAGCAATTTATCAGACACAGAGTTCAAAGCAATGGTTATAAGGATGCACAAGGAACTTAGTAAGAATTACAAGGAACTTAACAGAAACTACAACAGCATGAAATAAAATATTAAAACCATAAAAAAGAACCAGTAAGAAATAAAGAATACAATACCTGAATGAAGAAAACACTAAAAGAAATAAGCAGTCGGTTGGATGGAGCAGAGGATCTAATCAGTGATTTGAAAGACAAGGTAGAAGACAACAGCCAATCAAAGCACCAAATAAAATAAAATAAAATAAAATAAAATAAAATAAAATAAAATAAAATAAGGATTGTTTAAGGGATATTTGAAAAAACATGAAGAGTAAAAACATCTGTATCATAGAGATACCAGAAGCAGAAGAGAGAAAGAAATGGGAATCTATTTGAAGAAAAATGACTGAAAACTTCTGTTACCTGGTGAAAGAAAAAGTCACACAGTATAGAAAGCACAGAGAGACCCAAAGAAGATGAAACAAAAGAGGTCCACACCAAAATACATCATAATTAAAATGAAAAAGGTTAGAGACTAAGACAGAGTCTTGAAAGCAGCAAAAGAAAGCCTGGTCAGTGTTGCTCAGTGGACTGAGCATCCTCCCATGAACTGAGAGGTCCCAGTTGGATTCCCAGTCAGGGAACATGCTGGGGTTGCAGGCTCAATCCCCAGCAGGGGGCGTGCAGGAGGCAGCCGATCTATATTTCCCACATTGATGTTTCTATATCTATCTCCCTTCCTCTCTCTCTAAAAAACAATAAAAACTTATTTTAAAAAAAATACAGCAAAAGAAAGACAGTTAGTTACCTACAAAAGAACTCCTTGACTTCTCAACAGAAACATTTTGTGCCAGAGGATTGGCATGAAATATTCAAAGAGATGAAAAGCAAGGACCACAAAGACTACTTTACCCAGGAAGGTTATCATTTAAAATTGTAGGAGAAATAAAGAGCTACCCAAACAAAAAGTACCATCAAACCAGTATCAGAAGAAATTTTAAAGGGTCTTCTATGAAAAGAAGAAAAAAAAAACACAGATGAATATAGTTATATAGAATAAAATAGCATTGAAAATTCTTTTCAATCGCACATGGAACATTTTCTACAATAAACCACATGTTAGGACAAAAAACAAATCTCAATAAATTTAAGAACATTAAAATCGTATCAATCATCTCCTCTGACCATAATGCTATGAAACTAGAAATCAACCACAAAAAATAACAACACCTGAAAAACAAAGTCTAAATAATGTTAATAAACAATGAATGGGTTAACAATGAGATCAAGGAAGAAAAGAAATTACCTTGAAAAAACTGTAAATGAGAACAAAACAAACCGAAACCTATGGGATACAGCAAAGATAGTTCTAACAGGGAAATTCAAAGCATTGCAGGCCTGCATCAGGAAACAAAAAAAAACACTCAAATAAGGAAATCTAACCTTACACTTTAAGAAACTGGAAAAAAAGTAAAATGTAAAAAGTGGCCCAGCTGGTGTGACTCAGTGGCTAAGCGTCAACCCATGCACCAGGAGGTCGCCAGTTCGATTCCCGGTCAGGGCACATGTCCAGCTTGTGGGCCCGATCCCCAGTGGGGGGCATGCAGGAGGCGGCCAATTGATGTTCTCTCTCATCAATGTTTCTATCTCTCTCGCCCTCTCCCTTCCTCTCTCTCTAAAATCGATAAAGAAAAAAAAATTTTTTTAAGTAAAAAGAGAGTACAAGAAAGGAAATAAAGATCAGAGAATAAACAAAATAGAGTCTAAAATAATACAACATTTCACGAGCTGGTTCTTTAAAAAAATAAAAAAGATAGAAAAACTTTTAACATCACTCATCAAGAAAAAAAAAAGAGAGGACCCACATAAATAAAATCAGAAACAAAGAGAAGTAACAATTGACACCAAAGAAATGCAAAATATTGTAAGAAAATATTACAAACTGCTATATGGTAAAAAAAAAAAAACAATCTGGATAAAATATATAAATTCCTGGAAACACACAATCTTACAAAACTGGATCACAAAAATGCTCAAGCTCATATGACAAGGTCAGCATTATCCTAATTCTAAAACCAGATAAAGACACTACAAAGAAAGAAAATTGTAGGCTAAAATCCCCAATGAACATAGATGCTAATCCACAAGAAAATATTAGCAAACCAGATCCAGCAATACATGAAAAAGATCATATACCATGATCAAGTGGGATTTAATGCAAGGTTGGTACAATATCCACAAATCAATAAACATGATACAACACATAAACAAAATGAAAAATAAAAGCCAAACGATTATATCAATACACAGATGCAGAAAAAGCATCTGATACAATCCAGCACCCATTTATGATAAAAAGTCTAAGAAAACTGGAAACATACCTCAACATAATCAAAGTCACATATGACAAACACACAGCCAACATCATACACAATGGGCAAAAACTAAAAGTGTTTCCCTTAAGATCAACAACAAAACAGGAATATCCACTTTCACCACTCTTGTTCACCATAGTAATGAAAGTCGTAGCCACAGCAATCATACAAGAAGAAATAAAATGCATTAAAATTGGAAAGGAAGTAAAGCTGTCATTATTTACTGATGATATGATATTTATTGTACATAGAAAATCCTAAAGTCTCCACCAAAAAACTATCAGATCTTATAAATGAATTTGGCAAAGTAGCAGGAAAAAAATTAATATTTATAAATTGGTGGCATTTTAAAACATCAACAATGAATGATCAGAAAGAGAAACTAAGAAACAATCCCTTTTACTATTGCAACAACAACAAAATGAGGTACTGCTTTGGCCAATGTGGCTCAGTTGGTTGGAGCATCATTTCATACACCAAAAGGTTGTGGGTTCGATTCCCCGTCAGGGCACATGCCCAGGTTGTGGGCCAAATGCCCAGTGGGGAGCAAGCAGGAGGCAGCCAATTGATGTTTTCTCATTGATGTTTCCATCTCTCTCTCCCTCTCCCTTCCTCTCTCTCTAATGTCAATTAAAAAAAAAAAAAAGAACTGGTACAACTTAACTAAAGGAAGATAATCCAATTTAAAATGGGCAAAGGTCCAGTGGACATCCCCAGTATCCCCCCTGCACCTCCACTCGATCCTGGGATTAGTCTCAGAGTGTGTCCTTCATGCAGGGAAAAAGTGTTTCTTTAGCACCAGTTCTTGGGTTTACAGATAATGTGCTCCACAACCCAACAGAAGGGTGAGGAAAGGTGCGCTCTGGGTGGTTAAGGGAAGGTGGCCAGGTTCCAGGGCTTCGTTTCTCTGTCTGGAATGCCAACTGCCAGACAACTGTGGCAGCACCTTTGTGCTTCGTCCCTGCCCAGTTCACTGGACTCAGGCGCAGCTCCTACTGTGTACTCCTCACAAATGCTCACGAGAGGACAGGTGGGTCCACGGCAGCAGTTTTCCGTGTTCTATACTGTGAGCACTTGCAGAGTGGCCACAGCTCCAGGGAGCACAGCACAGGTTTGCATGGAGTGATGGTGTCTCTGGGACGTGTGGCACGGAACATCCTGTGTTGTCAGTGGCTCTGGTGTCTGAGGTACTGGTATGTGCAGTGGCCATGGAGCCAGGGTTTGAAGTATAGGCATGGGTGGCATCGCTGTGGAACTGGGGTCTGTGGCAGGTGCACATAGAGCAGCCATGGCTCTGGGGTTGAGGGCAAGCACAGGGTTGGTGGCAGCAGGCTTAGTAGTAGGATGGCTGTCCTGGGGCCTCTCGTGGTGTTCAGTGGCAAAAGCTGCCAGGGTCCTCCACAAAGCACACCTTGTGACTGAGACTGTTAGCACCTGCCCTGTTTCTTTGTTCTTAGCCTTCTCAATATGTCTCCATCATACTGACCTCACCAGCAATCTTTCCTGTGTGATTATTCCACATTTTTTGTTCCACTGTGTTGCTGTAGGTTCTTAATTAGACTCTTTACCCCTCCCATGGCTATTTTCAGTCATGCACAGCTGTCATTTTTTTTTTTTTTTTTTTTTTTTGTGGGTGGGAAACAAAGGCTGGTATCTTCTACTCTGCCATCTTTCTGACACCACAGATCTTTCTCTCTTTGTATCTTGTAATAGTTTTTGGCTTAAAAGTTCTTTAATGTGACTTTAGTATAGGTACCTTGTTGTTCTCTTTTGGTTACTATTTCCTTGGAAGAACATTTTCCATTCTTCACTTTTGACCTATTTATGTCTTTGGTTTAAAGTGGACAGCATACGGCCTGCGGTCCGGAGAGACACGGGTTCGGTTCCCGCTAAGGGCATGTACTTCGGTTGCAGTTTGTCCCCGGCCCTGGTTGGTCGTGCGGGTGGCAGCCACTCGATGTGTCCCTTACACATCGATGTTTCTCTCTCTCTCTCCCTTCCTCTCTCTCCCTCCCACGCTATCTGTACAAAAAATGGAAAAATATCCTCTGGTGAGGATAAAAAAATAAAAAAAAATAAATAAAGTGGACAGCATAAAGATAGATGATGTTTATCAATTATGTAAACATCTGCCTTTCAATTGTATAGCTTAATTCATTTACATTTAAAATAATTACTCATAGAAAAGACTTGTAAATTTTTGCTGTTTATTTTTTATAAACATATCTTTTATGTTAATCAATTCTTGCATTACTGCTTTCCTTTGTGTTTAATTTTATTTTTCTTGTGCACCAACTTGATTCCATAAATGGTAAAATTTAAACCAGTATTCTCCCTAATGTTTGTAGGCTGTTTAAATCTCTTCCACTTTTTTGTAATGTTTTATTTTGGAAATCAATCTGTTTTATAGTAGTCACATATTATAAGTACGTGATGTAATTATAAATTATTTGATAAAACCTTATCAAATACTGCAGGAAACTCTTTGATTCAATGGAGCACAATTTGAAAATGATCAATTTAACTTTTTCCTAAAAGTTGTCTTCCAGAGTCTTACTGAGTTCTAAAACAATGGTTTCATAGAATGGAACTAGATGAGTTTTCAAAATCCAAATTGGTTTTTGTTTCTCTAATTATATCACCAATGTACTAATTATATCCTAATTTTAAATATATCCATAGCTCGTGATTTCACAACCTCCTTCGACAGGCAATACTACCTTAATTTATCTTTATCACTAAGAGCTCTTTTTAAAGAATACCCTGAGCCCAGCCGGTGTGGCTCAGTGGTTGAGCATCGACCTATGCACCAAGAGGTCACTGGTTTGATTTCTGGTCAGGGCACATGCCCAGGTTGTGGGTCCGGTCCCCAGTGGGGGCGTGCAGGAGGCGGCCAGTCGTTCTATCTCATCAACATCTCTATCTCCCCCCCTCTCCCTTCCTCTCTCTCTCAAATCAATAAAGAAAAAAAATTTAAAGAATACCCTGAATATCTGTTTTGTAGCAGAAAGCGTTTTGCTTCTCTTTTTGCCCTTGTCTTGCCTTCTTGCACTTTCACTTTCCTTTATGAAGTAATCAGTTTTCTTACCTTCTGGTTTGGCTGTTGTGGGAGTGTAAAAATAGACTTCCAGTAGGTCCACGTGAAGAACACAAAGATGGCATGGTAGAATATGAGGTAGATAACTGAAATTTAAGAAAAAAGAAAAAGTGTTTACACTAACATTTTGCCCATTTCTAAGAGTTCAAAGAGACATAAAGCTCTAAATCAAATTTCTATTTTGTTTTCTTATTACCAAATACTTTTTAGTATTACTATTGAACTTTAATTCTTATTTTACCCCATGCAGTGATAGAAACAATTTATAATGCCAAATATGGAACCAGCGACTTTCTGGAAGTTGCATGTTTGAAAAGTTTCCATGCAATTCTGAGAATAAAGAGAAAATGTCCTTTATGACAATATAGCCAATTGTTATTAACTCTACCACTGTGAGTGATGAAAAATGACAATACTACTTTCACAGCACTATAGAGTTTTCAATATGCTTTCATAATACTTTATTTAATTTTTTAAATAAATTTCAGAGCTCAGTAATAAAATAGGAATAGTTGATTAACTATAGGGGTAGTTGATTATGCAAATTCACACAGCTACTGTATAATGTAGCCAGGTTTTAGAAGGAATATTCTGACTCTAAATCACAAGTTCTTTTTAATAGCTCCAAAGAATACACACTATTGAAATGAGTTGTACATTTAAGACAATTGTAAAAGTGGTTCACCACTGCTTTTCTTTGTATCCCCTGTGCCTCCTAGATAGCTCTTCTAATATGTGAAATTTCCATATTCTCCACAGAGTTCATTATAGGACTAAAAGTTAGTTTACTGCTTCATTTTGAGTTCTTCAATGGTAAGGTCTTATTACTTCCTTTTTGCAAGCCTTTTATTGATTTTAAAGAGAGAGAGGAAGAGAGAGAGAGAGGCAGAGGCACACACCCTGACCGGGGATAAAACCCACAACCTGGGTATATGCCTTGACAGGAAATTGAACTCGCAACCTTTTGGTGTACCAGACAATGCTCCAACCAAGTGAATCATATCAGCCATGGTTTATTGTTTCCTTTTTTAAAAAATTGTAAAATTTATTGGGGTGACATCAGTCAATAAAATTATATCCTTCAAGTGTTCAATTCTGTGATACATTTTTTGCATATTGCATTGTATATTTCCTTGACTTGAGTATTGAAACAAGCTCTTATTACTTCAATCCATCAGACTCAAGGAAGAATGATGTTACAAACATGTTAAAAGGACTGAGACTTTTATACATTTAAGGCTGAATTTTTTTTAAAAAAAGAGCTGTACTCTCTTGGTCCAGTGCCCCCAGCCCTATAGTATAGGATTTCATTTTATGTGGTTGATTCATATAATTAGAAAATCTGATTTTCAAATTTAAACGACATAAAGTAAAAAGTAAATATCCACCAAACACAAAAATCTAACTTTCCACCTCCCCTTCCTAAGGCATAATAACTGTTTGGTTTGGTGTTTGATGTATATTATTCCAAATCTTCTTTTTCTTATATGTTTATATAAATGTATATGAACATAATACACATTGAATTTTTAATATATTTAAATTTTTTCTATTGTATTTCTTTTGAAAAATAATACAAACACAAGGTTCAAAGTTTGAAGGTATTAAATTGTACACAGTGAAAAGTCTCCCTTCTATCCCTGCCCCTCAGCAATATGGTTTCCCTCCCTAAAAGAAATGTCACACTGTCATGATTTTATTCTGTATCATTTCAGAATTTATACATATAAAAGCACCAAAATAGTATGCTTTTTTTTCCACACAAATAGCAGTATTCTATACACACTATTTTCACCTTACTTCTCTTTCATTTACTATAAGTTGTATATCATTTGTTCAATATAACTTAGAGAGAGTGAGCTTGTTCATTCTCATTTTTTTTTATGAATTTTTATTTATTTTTTTGTTACAGATATTTTACCTTTTTACCCCATTGGCACCCCCCCACCCCACCCCCCCTCCACCCTGTCCCTGGCTTAGTTGTCCATGTCCATTGGTCATGCATACATGCATATAAGTTCTGTGGTTTATCTCTTCCCACCCCCCCACCCCCCATCCCCTCTTCTGAGGGATGTCAATCTGTGCCCTACTTCCATGTGTCTGGGTCTACTGTATTCCTCAGACTGTTATGTTCATTATATTCCATATATAAGTGAGATCATGTGGTATTTGTCTTTTTCTGCTTGGCTTCTTTCACTTAGGATAATACTTTCCAGGTCCCTCCATGTCATCTCAAAGGATAAGAGATCTTTCTTTCTTACCGCTGCATAGTACTCCATTGTGTATATGTACCACAGCTTTTTTATCCATTCGTCTACTGGTGGACACTTGGGCTGTTTCCAGATCTTAGCTATTGTAAATAGTGCTGCTATGAACATGGGGGTACATAGATTCTTCCTGATTGGTGTTTCAGGCTTCTTAGGGTATATTCCCAGCAGTGGGATCACTGGGTCAAATGGAAGTTCAATTTTTAATTTTTTGAGGTAGCACCATATTGTTTTCCATAGTGGCTGCACCAGTCTGCATTCCCACCAGCAGTGTATTAGAGTCCCCTTTTCTCCACACCCTCGCCAACACTTGTTGTTTGATGATTTGTTGATGGCGGCCATTCTGACAGGTGTGAGGTGATACCTCATTGTCGTTTTAATTTGCATCTCTCTGATGATTAGTGATGTTGAACATTTCTTCATATGTCTCTTGGCCATTTGTATGTCCTGTTTGGAGAGGTGTCTATTCAGCTCCTCTGCCCATTTTTTAATTGGGTTCTTTGTCTTCCTTTTGTGGAGTTGTATGAGCACTCTATATATATTGGAAATTAACCCCTTATCTGATACATCATTGGCAATGATGTTTTCCCATACAGTGGGTTGCCTTTCCATTTTGATGATTGTTTCTTTTGCTGTGCAGAAGCTTTTGAGTTTGATGTAGTCCCATGTGTTCATTTTCTCCTTTATTTCTGTTGCCTTAGGTGATGTATCAGTGAAAATTCTGCTCCATATGATGTCCGAAATTTTGTTGCCTACATTTTCTTCTAGAATTTTTATGGATTCATGGGTCACATTTAAGTCTTTTATCCATTTTGAGTTTATTTTTGTGTATGGTGTAAGTTGATGGTCTAGTTTCATTATTTTGCATGTAGCTGTCCAGTTTTCCCAACACCATTTATTAAAGAGGTTGTCTTTACTCCACGGTATGCTCTTGCCACATTTGTCAAATATTAATTGAGCGTATTGCCTTGGGTCCATTTCTGGGTTTTCAGTTCTGTTCCACTGGTCTATATGCCTGTTCTTGTGCCAGTACCAGGCTGTTTTGGTTACAGTCGCTTTGTAGTATAACCTGATATCTGGTGTTGTGATCCCACCTACTTTGTTCTTCTTTTTCAAGATTGCTGTGGCTATTCGGGGTCTTTTTTGGTTCCATATGAACTTTTGAAGTATTTGTTCTAGTTATATGAAATATGTCGTTGGTATTTTGATGGGGATTGCATTGAATCTATAGATTGCTTTGGGTAGTATGGACATTTTAATTATGTTAATTCTTCCAATCCATGAACAGGGTATGTGCTTCCACTTTTTTATATCTTCCTCTATTTCTTTTTTCAATGACCTGTAGTTTTCTGCAAATAGGTCCTTTACTTCTTTGGTTAAGTTTATTCCTAGGTATCGTAATTTTTTTGGAGTGATGGTAAATGAGATTGTTTTTTCAGTTTCTCTTTCTGTGAGTTCATCATTGACGTACAAGAATGCCGTCGATTTCTTGACGTTAATTTTGTATCCTGCTACTTTGCCAAATTCATTTATTAAGTCTAATAGATTTTTGATGGAGTCTTTAGGGTTTTCTATGTACAATATCATGTCATCTGCAAATAATGACAGTTTCACTTCCTCCTTTCCAATTTGGATCCCTTTTATTTTTTCTTCATGTCTGATTGCTGTGGCTAAGACTTCCAGTACAATGTTAAATAAGAGTGGCGAAAGTGGACATCCCTGTCTTGTTCCTGTTCTTCTTTTTTTTTTTTTTATCCTCACCTGAGGACATTTTTCCATTTTTTGTTCAGGTAGACTGGGAGGGAGAGAGAGGAACAGAGAGAGAGAGAGAAACATCGATGTGAAAGGAACACATCGAATGGCTGCCACCCGCACAACCAACCAGGGCCGGGGACAAACTGCAACCGAGGTACGTGCCCTTAGCGGGAACCGAACCCGGGTCTCTCAGGACCGCAGGCCGATGCTCTAACCGCTGAACCAAACCGGCCAGGGCTTGTTCCTGTTCTTAATGGAAATGTTTTTAGTTTCTGTCCATTGAGTATGATGTTGGCTGTAGGTCTTTCATATATGGCCTTTATTATGTCGAGATATGATCCCTCTATTCCTACATTGCTGAGCGTTTTTATCAGAAATGGATGCTGGATTTTGTCGAATGCTTTTTCAGCCTCTATTGATATGATCATGTGGTTTTTATTCTTCATTTTGTTTATGTGGTGTATCACGTTTATTGATTTGCGAATATTGTACCAGCCTTGCATCCCTGGAATGAATCCCACTTGGTCATGGTGAATAATTTTTTTGATGTATTTCTGGATCCGATTTGCTAATATTTTGTTCAGGATTTTGGCGTCTATGTTCATCAGGGATATTGGCCTGTAGTTTTCTTTCTTCGTAGTGTCTTTTTCTGGTTTTGGAATTAGAATTATGCTGGCCTCATAGAACGTGTTTGGAAGTCTTCCTTCTTCTTGAATTATTTGAAATAGTTTGAGGAGAATGGGTGTTAGTTCTTTTTTGAATGTTCGGTAAAACTCCCCCGTGAAACCATCTGGGCCTGGGCTCTTGTTTGCTGGGAGAGTCTTGATTACCTCTTCAATTTCCTTAGTTGTTATTGGTCTGTTCAAGTTTTCTATCTCTTCCGGGAATAGTTTTGGGAGACTGTGTGTTTCTAGAAATGTGTCCATTTCACTTAGATTGTCGAATTTGTTGCCATATAGTTGTTCGTAGTAGTTGTTAACGATCTTTTGTATTTCCGTGGTGTTGGTTGTTACTTCTCCTCTTTCATTTCTGATTTTGTGTATTTGGGTTCTCTCTCTTTGTTT